AAAGAGATGAACTAAAAAAAATGAGAAAATTAGTTAAGTTTACAAATCTAGATACATTCTTATAAAGAAGGGTGAAAGAACAAAACCTTTAGAAACAGGTAATAAGAAAGTAGCACAACTTGGTGAAAAGGGTGAAGAGGTATTAACAAATCTACTAAAAAAGAAAAAAAAATGTGAAAAAAGAGGCCCATTCATTCAGTGATGCATGGACCTATGAGACAGAAATGTTAAAAATGCCATGTATACAAATACTTATTAGTGGGTATTCATATTCGATAAAGTGATGCTACGTATGGTATTAGAAGGATATACAAATCTCAGAGAAACAGCTATATGGGGTATATAAATATGAGGATAATGTGTATCAATAAGAAAAGTCATTGTATTGTGAATTCTACATATGCTCTTATCACACTGTTGAGTTCAGTAAATTATGAAAACTTACAGAAGGCAGACTGAGATAAAGAAGGGATTAGAAGAGATGTGACTAAACAAGACATGCTCTACAATTTCAATCAACTAAAATTTTGAAGTGCTCCATAGAATTAATATAAATACCCAAAAGAATTTCCCCCAAATCAGGTTTACTTTAAAAAAAAAATAGTCTAGGTAAAATGTCAGCAATAAATGCAATGTTTTGAAGTTCTGGCATGTTTTCTTATGTTATGACATGGATGAGTAGGGTTGAATTTTCAAAAATGCTCAGAAGTAGGCTAAAAGAAGGTTAGGTCAGGAAACAGCTAGAGAGATTTTTTTGGAATACATGGACTAGTCAAAATGTTGTATGATCTGAAGGCAGGATGGACCACGACAGTTTTCAATAGGTGATTCCCTACAGTCCTATGGTTCTAGAAATTTCATGGATTTAGGACTTAAAATATCATGTTGTCAATGTAGCTTATTTAACTTTATTTAATATAATTGATTATTGTATAGCTTAAATGAAATATTTTCACAAATATATTTTAGATGAAATTTCTTTGGTGATTTATCTGATGATAGTCTTCAATTCTTAGGGAATAACTATGTTTATTGACAAGAAACCAACAAGTTTCCAAATAAATTACGTGTAACTTTAGTTCTGTATTGCTTAGGCCAGTTTGGACTGAAAGACATGCTTGTTTGCTGAAGAAAATCTCATGAGATAATGTTCAAAATGTGAAGCCAAAATCATAAGCGAGAATGATTATGAACATAATATTAAAGATATTGTTTTAACTGGATTTTTCTAAATTATATTAATAATATAACTTTTATCAATTATATTCTTGAACTTAAATTATTTTTTGCTCCTTATTTGCCGAGATCTTCTGTTTTTTTTTATGTATAACTTATTGTATCATTTGAAAGACTAAATTATTTTAAATAAGATGTCGATAATTCTAAAACATTCTCCCATTCTTCAGGATAAAAATGTAATCTTATTTTTAAACTCCAGAGAGCATCTTTTCTTGTTTCATTTTAGCAAGTACTGAAAATCATGATTACATTTTTGTGTAAGTTAAAGTAATATTTTAGTACATTTTTATTAATCTAATAAAAATGAAAGGTGAAGTTAAGCTAAAAGCCATTAACATTTTAAGATAAATCTAAACACTGTTTTGAATACATTACTGTATTCTACATGTTTAAATTTATTTTCTCAATTTTTCAGTGTGTTCCTCTGGTACTTATCAGAGTACGAGCAAATGACAACATGATAACAAAAATAAGAAAAAGCACACAAAGTGCTCACAAAGTGCTCATGACTAACGAGGCAAGTATTAATAGATGTTTTTCAAAATTACTCCTGATTAAAAAAAGAAGTTCCATTTCATTAAATGTATCATGTATACACTTCATGGATTTTTTTCTTTAAAAAAGGAAATGACTCCATTTAGGCATTTTTTTAAAACAAAGTACATTTTGGAGGGCAGTGGATGGGGGGAGGGGGGTTGTTACTTTGTGAGGGTGAAAAGGGTAACTATTGCATTGTTCTGTACACCTGAAACTAACAATAAAAAAATTTAAAAAAAAACATTTCTAGTGAAAAAAAGTAAAAAAAAACAAAACAAAGTACATTTTTTAACATGTTCATACATGTACTTTTGTGTAAAAGTTGGTTTCTTGCAATTTTTTATTTCAACTTTAGCAATCAGAGATATAGAAATGGAAAGTTCTTGGGTAGAGAAAATGATCTCGTTTGTATTATTAAGCATATCACTATGTCCCTGTCATATTATAAATGACAGTGGTGGCCTCCTTAGGCTTTTTAGAGCTTTACAAAAATAACCAAATATACAGCTACTTTTCTGAACATCAGGCTGTTCATTATAAAACTAAATGGATTTTTAGCAAGAGAAAAACTACTACCTCAAATTATTTAAACATTCTGATTAAAAGCAAATAATTAGTGTCAATTTTTAGCTTCTTTAATTACATAAGGGATGTGCTCTTCAATTTAGAAGATGAGAATATTTATATTCCTGATGATAAATGATACAAGTATTAACAACTATCACCATGTGAATTTGTATTAGGTTAGGAACAATTTTGGTTTACAGTTTATACTAACAGATTAACTATAAACTTGACTATGCCTATTAAATTAGACCCATGATGTAATAATTTTAAAGATAATTGTGTGAGTCTAAGATGACACTAAACACTGGAAGTTAAAAAAATATATCAGACATGATTAAAATTATATGAAGAACTAAGGCAAGTGTAAGTAGAAACAAAATAACTATTGTTCTGCTTATTTTTCATTCAGGTCACACTTCATCCTAAACCTTAAATTTTGAGCAGTATGAGCTGGCTAAGACAGAGAAAATAAAGTGTTACTAAAATCTCATTTATCCTAATACCTATCTGGATAATAATCAAACAAATCCAATTTTCTTGATAAAATAATAGATGCATTCTTTGATTTCTAGCAACACACATAACTGCTAATGTATTTCTTAATAGTTGAAAGCAGGTTTCTAAATGAAAACACTAGATTCTTAATAATTAGACAAATGTTCATTAAAATATATGCAGCATTAATATTTTTATTAATAAAATTATTTGTCTGATTCTTAAAATTAAAAAGGAAAACTACTCAGTAAAAAGAGTGACATTTGTAGATGTTTAAAATTTCAGTTCTATATGTAAGTGGAATGTCACCAAGATCACCACTCACTAAGAGCAAAAGAGGGTGAATTGATTTCTTCACTATATTTGATGTAGATTTACCAGTTGACATATGCTAATAGTAAATATTTGTATATACTTAGATGTACAAAGTTGAATTACTCTGAATCATATGATCCTTGACTTTTTGTGTTGAAAACATTGATAATATATCTCTATAATGTGCATTCTTACTTTAAAGTGAGAATATGTTGTTCAGAATCTGGAACAACTTGGTTTTTGATAATAAATAAAAATTTAAATCCAGCATTCAATTTGTGTAGCAAATACTGCATAATAGTTCTCATTCATTAAAATTTGATTTTAGGCCACTTTAAATCACTAATGTATGTAGACGTGTGAGTTAAACTTTAGGAATTTAGCACACACATTACATCTTCATTATTATGTTAGATATTTCAATACTTTAAGTATCTGTGCTCTCCTTGTATTTTATAACTTTAAAAAATAAAGCAAAACGAGTAACAAAAATTCATAGGATGGCATAATTATTTGGTCCTGAAATGGTAAAACGCTATGTCACGTTAGGGTGATGGCGTTTCTAAATAATTTGAAAAACTGAACATAATCATTCATAAAATAACATTTGACCCCTTTTGCCATCACAATGTATGTATCTAATGACAGGTTCACTCTTTAATCATATGACACTTGTCTATTCTTATTATCAAGGTCCAGAGTAGTAGCCATATCCTCAGTGCATTCAATCCATGCCCTTTCACACTTACATTCATAAGGGCTAAAATATATGTTCTTCTGCTTTTTCCTTCCTGTAAGTTTTTTGGTTTTATTTTTCTGTTTTCCTCCCATTTCATGAGTCATAAAAGAAATGATACATCTGCAGCCTATCTCATCTTTTGTTTCTAGCTTATGGTTCCACAACTTTTTTTGAACTAGAAGATTAAAGTAAGAAAACATCAAGTACGATAGATTTGCTAGACACAATAAAAGCCATTTTTTGATTGAGTTGTTATGAGTTCTACCTCATCAAATATTTGTTTATATGGTTTTATCAAAAGATTGAACTATCATTAGTATTTATCCATTATCTAAAAGGAAAAGTTTCCTATGAGGCAGAGAAGGAATGATAGCATTTTATTACCAAGATCTCCAAAGGAAATATATACTACAGTACCTCAAAGCATTTTTTTTTTAATTTTTCACAGTGGTTGTATTAAATAATCCACTTAAAGAACATGGCCCCAAAATTGAAAGCCCTGAGTGCAATTATCAATATCTCAATGTTAGAAGAATCTATTATTTTAAATAAATGAAGAATATTGCTGTATTGATATGCTTCCATCGCATAGTTCCTCTGGTTTGGGTCAGACTTGAATCCATACCAACATATTATTAAATCATGTTGAATGGTCAAAGTGATGGCTACACTGATCTCTGAATTTAGCCTCACGTGTTTAATGTCACTATGGTAAAAAATGATTCGGCGATAACGCTGGCATCGATAAGAAAATTAAATCTCTCAAGGGTCGAGAGATATTTTTCCACCTTAGTTAAGCCCTTCAAAACAGGAAAATCAAGTAAGCAAGAGAGCAATATTCAAAGGAATTACGAAGAGCATTTGAAAAATGTTTTCAGCAACATCAAAGTTGGGTTTGATTGTTGTCAACAACCGTATCCTAACAGAAACCTGTCTTCCTGTGAAGTTTATTCCTTTTCCCATAGTAAAGCGCTGCCTGCACCCAAGAGTCACTTCTATCCTTGTTTCTGAAAGCAACCCAACCTCTATTTTTGCTAAGAAGAATGGAGTATTGAACTTGATTCCCTCAAAGGGAACACTTTGATACAGCCTTTTAGGTGATACTTACTCAAATATGGTGGTTTGTAAGGCGCTCGTGTATTAGACAGCAGTCCATCCAGCTCCTTTCTCTCCAGAGTGCTGTGCAGGGCCTTCTCTTTGCCGAAGGTGGAGAAGGACCGCTCTGCCCCAGGCTGGGCTTCCGGCGTTTCAAACACCTCGGTGTCTGGAACAGAGTCCATGCCGGGAACGTGCAGATTGCTGCGATAATCAGCAGCCTGGCGTCCGTCAGAGGGGACAAAAGAAGGCATCCAGCACCGATCTGAGTGGCCCAGCGCTTTACACTCCTCAGTGCAGTTGGAGAAGAGATCCATCCCTGTCAGTAGGAAAAAGAGAAACTACAGGTGTGGCTTCACCAACGCGAGCAGCTGCTGGGGCGTGAAGGATTACAGGCAGCATAGTGAGTGATGGGGGACGGTCTCCTCACCATTTGTCCTGTCTTAACCTGACAGGAAGCTCAAATCTCTGTATTATTTTGTAGAAGGTAAGACTTTTGGCCAAGAGGCCTCTGAAATAGATTTTTCTAAACTACTCAGGAAATTGAGGAAATATATTGGCTCTAAATTATTAAATTATTCAAATAAGTGATGAGTAGAAAAAGAATAAATAATTTTGAAAATCTCTGGCAAAGTTTATAACAGTAAAAACCCAGTGTAAAGTTTTCATAATCCATAATCTCTAATGATGATAAATCGTCTGATATATTTTTTTCCTTAGAGACAAAATTGGAAGAAATATGTGAAGCACGAAAGTTGATATTTAGATTTTGAAATCTGAACATGAAACAAAAAGTGAAATTCAACTGAAAACTGGCATACATATTGATAAACCAGTACATAACAAGAATGAGATAAGATTTTACGAGCCGCCAAGGTCCCTAGGAAATGACTTCCCAAAAGGTATTTCTCAACAGGCACTCTGGTAGTCCATATTACTACAAACCACTTATCACTTCCCACCTTAGACAAACCCAGAACAAATTACTGTAATTAGTGAAACCAAGGTAACCAAGTGCAATGTGAGTCAACTGCAGATACTATTGACAAATGCCTTATTACTTGTTCTATACTGGAAAACACTGGTCCTAATCAACTCAGAACTGTTTGCTTAGTAATCCTAAAATACAGCAGGTCCTTGAATAACCTTGTTTTATCATTTTGTTATAATGTTGGTGAGACGTGGAACCTAACTGTTGTTTAGGTCAATTGGCCTATGTAAAATTGGTTTATTCTACGTTGTTTCACTTAAAGTCACAGAGCCCATTGAGGACTTGCCACAGCAAGATTTCAAATGACAACTTCAAGTTTCATTGTCCCCCATAGATTGACAAGACTGTTACCTATTATCTGATTATGGCTCAAGAAAGCTCGTTTAGTTCCTTAAGCAAAGCATAACAATTTTGAACATTATAAAATACTATTTGATATTTATTTTGATAATTAGCACTAATGCAGAAAAACAAGTACATAAACCAAAAATGCATTCTAATGTTTTTTTTAAACACAGTAACACATTTATTGAATATATCTTAAAACAGTCAACTTGAAATGACCAAAGTATATGTGGTCCGTACATAAGAAACTTGAATGCTTGCCTTATCTGGAAAACTAGGGATATTTTTGTTTGTTGGTTTAACTGATAGAGTAATATTTATTTAATGAACACACTTGATTGTTCTATTAATATCATGGGTGATTTGAGCTCTTGAGCAACTTTTAGTTTTTAAATTCCTGATGGTATCCTGTCACACACTGATTTATTTGTTTTGTATGTTAACATCTGTGTATATAAAATAAAAATATTTTTCAAAATTACTCACCCTCTAGATTATCCACAAGCATTTTGGAGTTAAAGACAGTTAATTACGTAAATTGTGTTTAAAGAAATAACACCAAGCTTCTTGTCATATATTAATCTCACTTTATAATGACTTTTTTATTTTAAATTAAACTATGTATAATGCCAAGTCTGACTTCGATTATAACATTCCATTGATAGTTGTCATGCACAAGCCAGGAAATAAATTACTGATCAGTGAACTGTTGAGGAAAGGAAACGTGATCTGAAGCCAGGATAAGGAACCAGACTAAGAACCGCAAGTAAAATGTGTCAGTGTGTCCTTAAGACACCAGGGAAGCTCAGTTCTTTATCCTGAGACACGTAGAAAGGAAAAGAGAAGAGGAAAAAGAATGTCCCTGATACACACTGACACATCAGGTAGGTAGAAACTATTGATAAAACCAAAGAGATTTGTATTTTGACACACTATACTATAAATGTTCCCTGTTTATAGTGTGTATGAGGGGGAAAGGCTTTTTTCATAGATGGAACTACCGTTGAGTAAAACTATTATGAACACTTATTTATTTTAAAAATAAATTCAAGTTATATTAAATTTGAAGTGGATGGAATTAACCCAAATATTAAGATGGAACTGTATTACTGGATCTTGGTAAAGATAGGTACCTAATGCAGAATTTGGAATTAATGCAATTTTTTCCTCATATGACTGAGAAATAGCATTTTAAATATATCACATGAGACCATTAACAATATTTCACATCTTTTTGAGGAACTGTACCCAAGTACTCCTATAATTATAAAAATGATAGTCTTACACACACAAAATTCCATAAAGTAGCCTCTGAACATTATTATTCAAATGTTTAGTTATGTTTGAATGTACTTTCAGTAGAACTTGTTTTTATGGGTAGTTTAGACTCAGTTGTGCCCAATTTCTCCTCTTGAAGTGTATGGTTTTCTGCCTCTCTTAATTATTAGAAGCTACTTAAAATTGCTCTAGGTGATATAATAAAGTTCTCATGAGTCAAAAACCTGTACAAAAAATATATCATGTGCATAACAAAAAAACTGGAGGGATATGATAAAGTTTTTTGTTGGAAGAAGAATGTTACTTGACAGAAGAAAAAAAACAAACATTTGTAAATAATGTTCTTAGTAAATTTATGAACTAATCCTTTTAAAGTGAAATTCCCATAGTAATAACACATAGCTTTATATAATTAGAATGAAAGATAAAGTGACACAAACTATGCATGAATGTGTTTTGCCAGTTTTACTGGTAAAGCAAGTGTACACATTTCTTATGAGGAAAATATCATAGAAACATTTTAAAAATAACACAGATAGTACATCAATAAATTTCAAATAAGTAATGGAAACATTCACTGAAAATTGAGGTTTTTCATTTGTTTTTTAGATATATAGTTTGACATCCAAATAAATTTTTCCCATTACTGGGCCTCACCTGAGGGAGCCATTGAAAGACTAACATTATTTTGTCTGTTTTCATTTATCACTAGCTCCATTAAATATTTTATTTTAATGGCCAAACAAGCAGAGGTATATTTAAGTTTTGCTGTGATGAAGGATGCACAGAAATAACAGGTATTACAATCCATGTGACATATTAAAATGCATATCTTTCACATTGCTGTTGGAATTTTTGTAAGGGCTCAAACTGAAGCCCAAGAAAAAAGAAATCTAACTTGATCTTTTTTTTCCCTGGTTCAAATGCTTCTCCTATAGAGCCTGTGGGATTTGTAAAGCAGAAAAATACAGGCCAATCCTCAGTGTTGAAGTTATGGTAGCTTCTAAGAACTATCTCAGCATATATATTTTACTTATAATTTCTTCTCCTACTTATTTATTTTCTCCACTTTTCAGAAATAATCTGTGCTACAAGGCATGACAGCTGAAGTGATAGACTGCCTGTTATGCATAGATATATTTAGACAAATTTTAAAATACATCTTTTTTAACTGGCAAGCAACTTATTCCTATAGTCAGAGGCTGTGATATTATCACTGAAAACAAATTGTGATTTCAAATTGTGTGTTCAAGTTGTGTATTCAAGTTTTGTTGCTTTCTGATGAATGTAATAGTACAAAATCATGTGTACATTTCTATCTCATGCATAAAAAAATGCTTATTTTTTAAGACAGGATAAATTAATTTTAAAGAAAATCAACACTTCATTTTTTTGAGAAAATTTCATCCTCTGACCACTTAAAAATGGAAAACTGAGTTATTAATTATAACCACAAAAATTGCTATAATAATTAGGAAAATATGGTTTGGAGGCAGTTATTTATCAACATAATTTAATCATGAAAATTCAAAACACATATATCAAAATTTTCTCCCTATCTAGTCTTTCAAAATGCTTATAGTTTTTCTCCATTTTACCTTAATATTTTGTTTTATGTATATTTATCCAATTATAAATCTCTCCTCATTATCAAGTTGTAGCTCAGGTTTTCACCAGAAACTTGAATAACTTTTGGCGAACAATGGTCTAAATGCCCCTTATTTATAAAACCAAAAGCTAATTTGCCAGTGTTAAATTCTTGTTTGACTTGCGAAAGGGAAATTTATATTTATAAGTCAAGAACTCTCTTGTTTGTAGTAGTTGTGCAATGGCTTATTGTATTTCACGATATAATTTATCTGCTATTTTGAATAAGTGACAAATCAAATAACTTTATTTTTTAATGTATAGTCAAAGTTTGACCATGTATCATGTATTGTTCTCATAATAATTAGTTAAGAAATAAACACATTTAGAAACTAAGTTCCCTTATAACTGAAAGAAAAATTAATGAGAAGAGCAATTTGACAATTTTCAGTTAAATTATAAGAAGTAACATTAACAGAATCACTTATTAGAATTTTCCTCTTAAATATAGATACATATTTTTAGGAAGGAACAATTATTAAATTCAAAATTAATCCTAGTATTATGTGCATTTGTAAGCATTCAATACCTGAAAAAAAAAACCTTCTTACAACTTAATAGATCTCCTTAGATGTACCCCCAATAATATTGTAAGGTTAAGAATAAACAACTAAAAATGTTTTATCAGTATTCTAAATTAGACAAAAAAGCCTATCTTTTACTCTAATTATATAATAAACAAAATGAAAACATGTATTTTTTAAAGTCCACTTTGACTTTTTTGGCTACTTAAGCTGTGATTAATCAGTTTTTCCACTTATGATGATTTATGCATGCATTTACCACATCTCCTTGGACTGCTGCCATATCTAACCAATACATCAATAGTGCACTGAAAAAAACGGAAAGCACCTTGACAAGGCTATAGAAAGAAAGTGCCACAGAGCAGTGGTCAAGCCGAAGAATTTCACACATGGAGCCAGGTGCAGTGGAAAACTGGAAACGCTCATGTGATTCTCTGTGCAGCTGCTTCCGTATTTAAAGCCCTTCTATGAACAAGATTGGTGACTGCAAGTGGCTTAGAAAGGGGGAAAGCAAGGGGAGGGGGAACAAAAAAGAAAACTATTCATAGAAGAATAAATAGATGGCATATCTAAATAAATGCACACAAAGTAATGCTAACATAGAAAAAGAAAGTGGGAGTAAAGAGAAAGTTAGGAAGCTGGAACAGGTGAAGCAGTAAGCTAGACAGTGTATAAAATGCATTATGGAATGAGGTACAAACTCAAGGAGAAAAATCAGAGTCTGTATCTTTCCAGGGTTATTTTTCCTTGATAATCTAACCCTTTCCCGTTAAAATCCAGCTAAGTGGGATTTGATTATTAGAATGAAATGTTTTCATACCTAAACCTGAAAATAAATGTGCTATAAATATTTCCTAACTATTGCAAAATTGGAAGATCATTAATACCTGGCTTTTCAATGAAACAAAACAGATTTACTTACTTACCTAAAACAGGCTTAACTTTTAGAAAATATTCTAGCTACTTGGTGTGAGGTTTATAGTACACGACATCAGTGTGGACTGGAAAGAAATCATTAAGTAAATGCATTTTAATTCTCTGCATTTAAGGTCTTATACTTAAAAACAGAAAACATTCAAAATAATTCTTATAATAAAGTTAGACATATTAAATTTGATTGCAATTCAGCACACAAGGGTGCTATTACTTCTTAATACAAAGTTATCACAATTCCAAAACAGCTATTCTTGTGCCCGATATATAGTGGCTGCCCTATAACTGCGAATGAAATACACAAATAGATTGTAAATTCTATGATACTTTCACAAGTTTAAAAATTTAAAGATAGGAAAACATTTTGCCATTTTGATCCAGAAAAACAAACACTGCCTTACTTTTAAAAAATGTTTTCCAGAACACAATTGCACATTTTAATTTTCCTTTGGATGCTTTGACATCTCAAATAATTTGGAAGAAACATTACCAACATGGCAACACTGAGTGCCTGTGAAATAAAATAGCTACTGGGAAGGCACATTGGTAAAAACATATTCCCATCCATTTTCCAAATTTAGATCTTTTCACAGATGCCTATTCATTTCTCTTTATTTGGTTAGGCTACTATAGCTCATTATGTCTGAGGGACTAAACTAATTGAAATGTTCATTGAGATCGGAGCACTACACACACAAAAAAGCCAACAACAACAAAGTGGGGGAGTGGGAAAGAATAAAATGCATCCTAGGAAGCATGCAGCAAATCAACTTTTTCTTGACATTAAATATTTTGCTTTAAAAGTTTTAAAAGGCTGACTGTCGGGTTAACAAATGTTGAGAAAAGAATAAGAATGCATGATTTTACATGTATAGCTTCTTAAAGATAACAATAAATCATATGCCATATATAGGCCAAAAATGAAAGGGACTTTGTACTCAGATATAAACTTCTGGCAAGATCTGGTTTGTTGTCAGGTTCCCAGACACTAAATAGATTCTCTGTTCACTTAGCGTGAAGGCCCGCAAGGGGCAGGGACCTCCGGGGATTCTTGGCAGCTCTCAAGTCTCATTAGGTCTGCATATTAATGACTTGCAGCAATATAAAGAGACCCTTGAGCAGCCTTTCCCCCCTTTCCCAAGGCTAAGGCAGCCTCGGGCACAGCACACATTCACCCAATGGTAGGCATGCAACAACCACTGCTGCCAGGCGACCATGGGGCGTAGACTGCCCTTTGACACACTGCCTCTGCACCATTCAAACGTCCACCAAGTGCATTGAGGAATGGGTGCTGTCGAGGACCAACATTACCTTGAAAATAAGGACCATATCACTCTGTGCTTATGTCATGAACCAAAATAAACCTCAAATCTCAAATCAAGCAAAAGGAGTTGAACCAAAAGAAGGTCCAATGACAGACATTTTTAGAATTTACAAAAGTTGACTTTCCTTTCCATTTTCTAATGTGTCAGATAAACACAAAACTCAAATCAGAAAAGAAAAAGAAAAAAAATTTTTTCAACAAGCACCTTTTACAGTTGAAGTGCAAATGAAGCAGAAAGATAACCCAAATTTTAGGAAATTATTTTATTTCTAAGTGTTTCCTTTATGCATTAGTAATTAGTTATCAGGATCCTATAAAATGTGAAGGTTAAATTTATACAGAAAAAAGTAAAGTAAAATATATAAAATAAAAATATGTATCACGTTGTGACTACTCAATTAGTGACTATCATGAAGCCCACATACAAATAGAGTCCAACTTTTTGACAGGTCATGGACTCTGTTGAAAATAGGAGGAAACCTAGGACATTTCAGAAAATACACATTATCAATGTTTACTAATGTCCTAAAGCCTAAGAACCCAGGACTGAGAATCCTGCTTTCAACCTACTTGTGACTGTTAATCACCATTTCTTCTCCCGTTCACTACTTGGTGACGTGCAAAATGAATTGTTCTAGAAAGCAAGAAATTTGAATTCTAGTGCCCACTGTTCCACTTATCCCCTTATGACCTTGTACAGGTCAGTCAATTCCATTCATCTTCAGTTACCTCATCCATAAATAAGCCTAATAATACCTTCATTGGCTGAAGGCTGGGGACTGACCCAGGTGGGAGATCTATAACATTTTGCATGAAATATAATTCCATTAAAGAACACTACATAAGGAAAAAATATTTCATATTCTAACATATTCCATAATGAATTTCTAACTTTAATTCTCCAAAGGAACATTGAATTTTTATAATCCTCTTGAGTATACAATTATTAACATAAGGTGACACTGTCTTTCTATAGAGGTACCAGCCTTAAATGCATAAAAAAATGACCTAGACAGCATCCTTTCTAGATTAAAAAAACCCAAAAAACTATAAAAATCAGCATTTAGATTGCCCTTTGATCACACTTACCAGCTGACTGGCCACGGTTGGTGGCATCATGGTCACTATCTCCCTGTTCACTGTCTCCATGACCACTGTCCTTAGAGCTTACTATGTCGGCTTCCTGGAATGCAGAACTAGAAGTACAAAAATGTAAATATTAGAATAAAAAAGGTGAAGTAACACAGAATCATTCTTCTGCCACCACATGGTCACTGATGGCGCTGCAGATTCATCCACCTTTCAGTTGGCTTTATTTCTGTAGGAAGCTCATTTTCATAAACTTGAGCCTAACTCTTTAAAATTGAGCATTGGCAGTCAGTTTGAGCACTTAAGTCATGTAAAGTTTAGGCATTATTGTAGGATGGGGGCTAAGTAAATGTTTATATGCTTTTTATACAGCAGATGTATGTATGTATATATATATATATATATATATATATAATGTATGCATATACATACACACACACACACACACACACACACACACACACACACACACACCTAGAACTGTTAGGAAGACTATCAAAAGCAGTGTAGGAGTATAAACTGGCAAAATATTCAAATATATTAAGTTGCATACAAATGAAATATACCCGTATTTTTAATGTATTATCTATCTAGGAAACCCAATATAATTAGTATTTATGTCCTGCCTTAATTGGAAATACTGTATATGTTTTATATTTTAATATTGAATAATATACCTAATTCCTATTTTTAGTAGGTAGTAAATTGTCCACCCACCAAGCAAGAAAAAAAAAAACCAAAAAAAAAAAAAAAACAGAGTCCATACCTGTTAACTCGGCGAGGTCTGTCAACTAGATAGCTGAGCTCTGCTCTCTGGTGTTTAGTCTAGAAAAAAAATAAATAAATCAAGAGTATTTGAATGCTAAGGGTTTAACAGTCTGCTTCTGAGGTTAGAAACTAATTCTAGGTTAAGGAATTGTGTACATTTTTATGAATTTCCACTCTGTCTTTAGACCTCAGCCTGATTGCTGAGTAAGGGCAGGGAGATATGGAAAGACACTTCCCTCTAAATTTTTAGTAAAAGTTAAAAAAAACATTGCAGGAATAAAAGGCCCATTTTAAATGTGTGGGTGTTTTAAAGGAGAGAATGCAAATGACCTCATAGCTGGGGCTCAACTATTATCTCTGATAGAGTCAACCTAGTTATACTCTGTAGTCTTTCTCTCAATGGCTTAAAAAAAGTGTTTAGGTGCACACTGGTTGACACAAGAAAAACAGCACGCTCAATAAGCAAAAAGTTTGGATATTTTATGGAATTATTTTGTTGTTTATTTTCAAAATGTGTTTAAGATACAAATGAGCTGTACAAATATTCATGAAAGTCAATTAATAATAGCTAAGACTCAAATAAATAAAATAACCTGCCAAGGAAAGAATTCATAATCCTCCCACCAAAATCTTTCCCCCTCCAAAGACCTTCTGTGTCCTGGTCCCAGCTTCCACCACCCATACACCTCTTCTGGTCCAAACTTTCTTATACATGAATGCCTCTGTTCTCCCTCTCCCTCCCTCCTTCCAACTGTGCCATTTCTCCATCTTTTAAGAAGAAATCAGAATTGACGAGCCAAATTCTTCCATGAAGAATGCCAACAGCAATAATTGATCAAACACAGTGGCAAGAAGGTGGTTATTAGCTAAAAGATATATTTAAGACAATTGTTTAAGCCTTCCATTTAATTTAAGCTTACAAGGGGTTTGTGCCAAAGCAACTTCATTCAAATTCACACTGTGTGGGCCTTCGACTTCAAGAGCGTCGGTAAATGCTGTCCAGAGCAGAACTGAAGGCTTTTCTGCAACTCGAGTTCAGAGGGCACGGATCTGATAACTCATTCACTACAACATGCATTCGAGTTTAGACAACTGTGCAAAGTTAAACAATCTATAGCTTACTTTTACACGCGACTGAAAGCATCGATAAACAGGGCAAAACAATGAGCTTTATTAACGCCTGGGACAAATGCAAAGAGAAAAAGACCTTTGCCAGCGCCAGCACGTCCCTCTCCCCCCGCCCACTTGCCCCCTTACTCCCAGGTTTCTGAGAAGGGAAAGGACTGAGAGGGGTTAGAATTTTAAAGGAAAGATGCCAGAGGGAAGAAAGAAGGTCCAAGGTGGCAAAGCACCACGGGGAGGGGATAAAAATAAACGTGGAGGGGTGGGGCGCAGAAAATTAGGAACAACAAGTTTAGGTTACACACGAACGGGTGGGAGAGGGTGCCCCCCCCTCCATTCTTACCCCTACAAAGATACAAATAAGCTAATATCCTAAAAATAAATACACAATGCACCAGAGATACAAGGGCCAGGCTAGAGGAGGCTCTCGGATGGAGGAGATGAGAGATGATGGTCCTTTCGCTTCAGCCTTACCTCGTTGGACAAAATGCTTCCGTTGGAGATGATGTCGGGCTGCTGGTCTGTGTAGCCGGTGACTATGGCCCCGCAGGGGTTGTGCTCAGTGTCCGTACTCCGAGAAGGACTGCAGGGCTTAAGGAACATTAAGTCGGTCTTGGCGGACTCAGGGGTCAGGCAGACCTGGTAGCAGTAATTCTGGTTGTGGTGGTGGGAGCCAAAGCTGCCGGACTCCTCCACCGGCACTTGGGCCGGGTTGCTGGGTGCGTTGGAGCTCTGCACCAGCATGATGTCCGACTTGCTGAGTTTCTTTTTGCGCGCCCGGGCTTGGCGGCCGCAGCAGGTCGAACCCCCACCGCCACAGCAGCAGCAGCAGAGGCAGCAATCGCTGGCCAGACACGTGTAGATGTTGAGCTTCTTCTCTTTTTGGCAACGCACGGCCAGCACGATCATGGCCAGCAGGAAGATAAAGGACACCGAACCCAGCGCGATGATGAGGATGAGGGTGAGGTCCAGCGAGGTCTCGCCGCCGCCTGAGCGGCTGGGGCGCTGGTGCTCCCCTGCCCTGGGGCTCGACAGCGCCATCCACCAGCTGCACCACCAGGGTGGCGGTGGAGGACAGCGGCGGCTGCCCGTGGTCGCGCACCTCGATCACCAGCTCATAAGGCCGCTGGGGGTCGCGCTTGGCAGGCACCCGGCGGGCGGTGCGGAGCTCCCCGGTGCGCCAGTCCATGCGAAAGAGGTTCATCTCGTTGCCCCGCACAATGCTGTAAGTGAGCCGGGCGTTCTCGCCGTCGTCGGCGTCCACCGCGGCCACGCGAGTCAGCAGGTAGCCCGGCTCCGCGGAGCGGGGCAGCACCTCGCGCGCGGGGGTCCCGTTGCGCCCCGGCAGAGGCGCCACGATGGCAGGGGCGTTGTCGTTTTGGTCCACGATGAGGATGTTGACGGTGGCATTACCGGCCAGAGCCTGGGGGCTGCCGGCGTCCCGGGCCTCCACTTGAAAGCTGAAGTCCTTGAGCTGCTCGTAGTCGAAGGAGCGCAGGGCGTACAAGTAACCGTTCTCGGAGTTGATGGACACGTAAGTGAAGACGCTCATGCCTTGGATCTGGCACTCGAGGATCGAGTAGGCGAGCTGGGCGTTGGCGCCCTCGTCGCGGTCAGTGGCGCTCACCGCGTAGATATAGGCGCCGGGCACGTTGTTCTCGGTCACATACACGTCGTAGACCGGCTGGCTGAACCGCGGGGCGTTGTCGTTCACATCTGACACCTGCACCTGGATGGATTTACTGGTGGAGAGCGCCGGCTCGCCTCGGTCCCGAGCCACCACGGTCAGCGTGTAGGAGTCCCCCGCCTCTCGGTCCAGGGGGGCCTCGGTCACGATGGTGTAGTAGTTCTTGAAGGAAGACTTGAGGCGGAAGGGCACATCCCCTAGCAGCTCGCACTGCACCTGCCCGTTCTCCTCCGAGTCGCGGTCGGTCACGCTGAACAGGGCCACCACTGTGCCGGGCGCCGCGCCCTCGCTCACCGCCTCCTTCACGGTGCTGAAGCTGATCTCCGGCGCGTTGTCGTTCGCATCCAGCACCCGCACGAGCACCTTGCAGTGTGCGGGCACGGCGTTGGGGCCCAGGTCCTTGGCTTGTACGTACACTTGATACACCGGGCTCTCTTCATAGTCCAGCTCGCCGCTCACCTCCAGCCGACCGGTGCGTGGGGACAGGCCGAACAGCTCCCGCGCCCGCGGCGAGATGTGGCTGCTGAAGGAGTACACGACCTCGCCGTTCTGGCCCTCATCTGGGTCCGTGGCGTTGAGCTGGATCACGAGCGTGCCCGGCGGCGAGTTCTCTGGGAGGGACACAGTGTAGACGGGTTGGTCGAAGGCGGGCACATTGTCGTTGGAGTCCAGCACTCGGATGGTGAGTAGGGCCGTGCCGGTGCGCTGCTGCTGGGGGGGCAGTACCCCTCCCCCACCGCCTCCCGCTCCTTCACTGCCTCCTCCCCCGCCTCCCCCGTCCACCGCGGTCAGCACGTAGCGGTGCACCGCTTGCTGCTCTCGGTCCAGCGGCTTCTCCAGCACCAGCTCGGCGAATCGGTTTCCATCCCCTTGGGTCTGCACGTCCAGGGAGAAGTAGCTGTTAGGGGTGATCTCGTAGTCGCGCAAGGAGTTGGTTCCCACGTCTGGGTCGAATGCGCTCTCCAAGGGAAAGCGGGTGCCCGGCGTGGCGCTCTCAGAGATCTCCACCGTCAGGTCCGGCTCCGGGAAGGAAGGGGGGTTGTCGTTGATATCCAGCACCTCGATCTCTACCCTGAACAGCTCCAAGGGGTTCTCCAGGAAGACCTCCAGGTGCAGGACGCAGGAGGGGCTCTGCTTGCAGATTTGCTCGCGGTCGATCTTCTCGTTCACGTACAGCACTCCGGTCTCCAGGTTGAGGTCCAAGTATGGGGTCCGCGAGTTGGGCACCGTTTGAAACCTGCGAGCCGAAAGTTTTGTAATGTCCAAGCCCAGATCTTCAGCAATATTCCCCACGAACGTGCCATGTTCCTGCTCCTCCTGCACCGTGTAGTGAAGCTGAGAAAAGACTCCTTCTACCATCCAGAGCAAGGCAAAGAATAATAGCACAATCATCTCCAAAGGGAAAGGAAGCAGCTTCCCGCAGCCAGCCAGCTACCCAATCACCTCCCCCACCACAAGGAAAAAAAACACCAAAAAAAAAAAAAACCACACACACACACACAAATAAAAGTGAGCTAAGTGGGGGGGCTCCTGTGGCTTTCTGTCCTTAAAAATCTTATTCCTTTTGCTTCATTTTAGGGCTTTCCGCAATTTAGCCTCATGTTTCAATCTTAGCGCAGGTAGGGTGACAGGCGTCCCCTTTCCTCATCTGTAATCTTCCCACTGACCAATTAATAAGATAATAATACAATAGTCAGCGTCCTTTATTCCGACAGTCTTGGCGCAACGCGGCGCTGGCAAATCCCAAGGAGGAAATTTCGGTATTTCAAGACTGTCCTCGGTTTGTCTTCTTGCTGATGGGAGGAGGAGGAGGAGGAGGAGGGAAAGAAGGAGGAGGAAGATGAAGAGGAAGAGGAGAAGGAAAAGGAGGTGCTGCTAGCACCGCTGAACATGCCTCTTAATGTCAGCGGCGGGCAAACGCAAAAGGGCTTAAAAACAGCGAGAGAATTTTGTGCCGGAAAAGCATAGTACGGCTCTGCAGCATAAAACTTTCATTCTCTTCATTTCTCCCGATGGATGTTCTTCCTGGCATTTTTTTTCCCCCCTGTTTCGCTCTATTTATATTTTTTGGCTTTCATAGTCTTGTCTTTCTCTGTCCTCATCTCCACCGTCATTTGAGTCTCTGTAAGTGTGATGAGCAGTTTCTTTTCTGCTGTTTGCTTCCCAAGCCTCCTTCCCTCTAACCAGTCTCTTTTCCTTCCAGTTCTTCCCTCCTCCTGCCTCAGCCTTAGAGCCTGTGATCTCGGCTGGCAGTTTCTGAGCTCGGAGCGCAACGCTTCTCTGTTTTTGCGCAGCGCCCTCATTCCGCCAACCAATCACTGAGGAGCACCACCCACCTAGCCTCTGCTAATTGGCCAACCTGGCCGTCAAGTAGGTGCGTCACCTGGCAGCCGGGTGGGGCGGGATAGAACCCGCGCCCCGGCGGTCGCGGCGAGTGTGAGTGTGAGAGAGGGAGAGAACAGCCCCGCAGGTCCCGAGGCGCTAGCTGGGGACTCTGCCGCGGAAAGTTCCCAGTCCCCAGCCGCAGGTAATGGAAAGGGAATAGAGAGGTTCCCCTGTTTGTAGAAGCAAATGCGAAACCATAATAGCAACAGCAGCGGCAGTATCCTCTCTCAGGAGCGGGGTTTCCAATGACGCTAACGTTCTTTTTTCCTTTAAGGTATTTTCCTTGCCACTGACCGTGGAAATAATTCACCGAGAACGGGAAAAAGTTGCCGAGGGGCCATTCATTGGCACGGGGTTACCTAATGAAAGGAGCTCTGGCAGAGACGGCCAGGACGTTTATAAAAACGGATACAACATGGCCTGTGTCCAACTAAGCGTGGGGGTCCGCGGGGCCGTGTGAAACCGGAGTGAAGCTCTTGAGTGCGGGGCGGAGGTGGGATTCACGCCAAGGGCTGAGGGGCTGGCCGCTCCTGTAGACGTGAGGACTCTTTAGACTTGCCTCTTCCGTCCTAATGGTAGACCCCCAGTATTCTTAGCAAATAGATTAATTGGCTTGGGGACTTCATTGGAGCTGTGAGCGCTTTGAGCAAGGACCGAGGACCCGATTTCATTGAGCTCCGCCGGGAGCCCGCCCGCCTAACGCCGGACTCGCTGGCGTGGAGCCGCCAGCCCCGCCGGCCGTTGTGAGGCGCCTCCGATATCCCTGCGCCTCGCTCGCCCAAGTTGTACGCGGCGGCTGCGCGCTCAGGCCGTTTCCTGCTTTTTTTCCCCCCCCTGACAATTGGAGATTCCCTCGGTCTCCCGCTTCCGTGCTAGACCCGGGCACCGATTCTTGCTCAGCTTGGGGCACCCTCGCTGAATGAGGACAGCCGGACGGCCGCGAACTCGGGCGTGGGTGGGTCGTGGGGTAAGTTGGAGCCGTGCACCAGCGGGCCCCAGTGGGTGCCGCTGCTGGGATCGGCGAACGCGCCGGCACATTCACGGCGCTCTCTCATCCATCCCCCCTGTCCAGGCGCACAGCTCCATGTAAGTCCCAACGGACCCCGCTCCCGGACCCCGGGGTCCCGAAGGATGCGCTTGAGTACCCCCTCGCCATGTGCGGGGTGGAGGGGGGGAAGACGGCTCAGCCAAGCACCCAGTTCCTGTGAAGTTAAAATACAGCGCGAACTCTTCAATGCTAGAGAGGATTGCATGTCAATTCTCTAAGAAAAAAATTTAGAAACAGTTTTATGTTAATTAACGGGCGGCAGAGGGCTGTTGGTTCACTAAAGCAGCCCCTGTTCAGTCTCCTTCTGAAGCCACAACATAGGAAGGTCCCTTTTGGCTCCCTGGTAATGAATGACCCCAGAGTAACACCACCACAACCTGCGGGAAAAGGAGAGCCGTTTTCCCCACCCCGAGGTAAGTTGCCGTTCCCTCCTGGCAGGGAATTAGGGAGGGCAAGTGTCCAGGGGCGTGATTGCGGACTGAAGCGTGCCCCTGCCAGTCCCGCGAGTGCGTGCCTTCTGCCTTGCGGGGCCCCCACCCCCGCTCTTTCATGGTGATGGGTCCTGCCTTTGAGCGGTTAGAGGGAAAGGATGCCAGCAAAAATGGCTAATCCTTTCCCAGCTGCAGTAAATTGATGACTGGCCAAAGCCAAACGAAAACCGCTGCAGTTAAAATGGTCTTAGCGTCATGTCTGCGACTGAGAATGCAACGGCACTTTATAAGAGGACCTGTGGATCAATGAAAAGGAGATTATAGTGTATGTGAATATTAATACAGCGTTGCATCTACTTTCTACCCCTCCCCCCTTGCTTTTCCTTTAGATCTGCAAGAATGAAATGACATGTTTTGAGGTTTTCAAGCTGACTCATCAGAATCCTGGAGCATTTTTTAAATGACGGTAATTTTCTAATGTTTTCATTTGTACGTATGGAAACACTTGTGTGTGTGCGCGCGTGTGCGTGCGTGTTTGCGTGTGAGAGCCATGCGGCTGAATGACAATGCAGATCCAGAAACCGGGGAAGAGGTTTGTGCTCTCAAAATGCAGATGAAGTTTGAGCAGAATTGGGGCGTTCGTTGAGAACTAGAGAGCGTCCAGAGGTAGAGATGAGGACGTGGAGAGATGGCCAGATTTGCCTGTAAATAATCACTACATCCACTGTAACACTTCAGCTGCTTTTTTTTTTTTTTTTGGTAGCGGTTGTGTTTGAAAGATAACTCAGCAAACGTGGGTTACAGGCGCCTCCTAGCGGCGAAAGCAGCATAGGGCAAGCACGAGAATTTTGCTTGGAGCTCTCGTTAGGCTGGGCTCGCCTGCTGGGGACTCTGCAGGATTTCTTGGGTCGCAGAGGCCTGTGTCCGCGCCGGCGACGCCGGTCTGGGTCCTTTAAAGGTCTCGCCTCTCTGACATGTAGTCTCTGAGGCGCCCCGGTTCTGGGAGGATGACGAAGGGGTTCTGCCAAGGAGAACAGACCAGAGCTCGGCCTTCTGCCTCCCTCCTGATAGCTACAGCCAAGGGCAATTGCAGGAACATTTTGTTGGGCGCCCAGATTCAGATATTGGTAAACCTAGAACCACTTAACAGCCCCACCCCGTCACCCACAAAACAGGACAACACCTTAAATTTGCTTTTTAAAAATGCTTTTAAGTGTAACCGGTGTCTTTTCTCCCTTGCTGTGTCAATCAAGCAGATTTTAACCCCCTTCGCTTTTTCCTTTTCACTCTCCCTTTGGTGGACCCCAGAATTTACTGAGGCCATGAGTATATAAATAACAGCCTTGGTGGTGGGGTTGATGACCTCTTTGAAAAGCAGAATATCGTCTAATACCGTGTCGCTGGACACCCCATCACTGGAACCCGGAGGGAGAAGCAAGCCCCAGCGAACATAACCCTCACCTCTGCCCTCCCATGCCCCCTCCAGTAGAGCATCTGGGCCAAAACAAATTGCATCCTAAAACAGAAGGGGGAAATAGTTATATAGAGGGACGTTATCAAAATCAGGTTTCATAAAAGTCCTGGTTGGTGTATGCGAGTGATAATGCACATTCCTCTATTTCATTGGGCTCTAAGTACAGCAGAAATAGGGGGACGCTAAGGACCCCTCAAATGCGTTTCATCTACCTAGCTACAAACTTTGAAACTTGGAAACAGGGTTGCTGTCTTTCCTGCCCTTTTTGGAAAAGGCAGGGGTGGGAGGTGGGAAACAAGTTTGTTAACCAGCATTTGGATAAATGAATGTTTGCAGTGGTTTAACTTGACTTGAAAGCAATTTGTTTCTAAATCCTCTTATTATTGCAGTGTGCCCAGAGCTTTGAGAAGACTTTTTTTTTTTTTTAAGGAATGGAAGACAAAAAATTAAAATTGTCAATAGGAGTCTTTCAAATGCCAGGCTCCTCCAGGATTGAGCTAGATGGTCCTGGCACCTGTCATTCCCAGCAAGGAGAGTGCAGAGAGCTAACACAAAGGACTTGTTCTGTACTGCATCTCTTAAGGGTAACCACGCAATAGGTTTATTTGGAGCAGTGTAACCCAACTTAAGGGCAGGCAAGGCTTTGGAGCGAATGCCATAGACACTGCGTTAGCCTTTGTTTATCCATAGTAAAGAATGAATGTTGATGAGAATTCCTGGAAAAACAATTATAGCTTATGCTATGATAAGCATTCAGGTAACTCTTTAGTTACTGTGTTCTAATGCTTTGAACACAACAGAGAACAAACCAGTTCATGTTTTGGGGACTTAGAATATTTGGGGACTAGATATTCCACTAAGCATGACTTGATATTGAAAGTAGAAATGTCCTCTGTTTTGTTTCACCTAGTTAATATTGGTGTGGCTTCACACTTCAGTGTCTTTTCCATGATCAAACAGGGCCAGCATTTTGTTAAACTCTAAACAGTGAATTAAAAGCACTGATGAGCTGAAGCAGCCCTCTAATGCAAAATGACAAATTGCACTTAAGCAATACATGAACAAGAAAATGATTTATGGATTTTTACAGTGGTCTGAGCAAATGAAAGCAACATGAATTATACATCCTAATGCTCGTGGTATCATTCTCTGATAGTACTGCTTTTGTTCAGATGCGATGCTATACTCTCATCCTTTCTATAAGAGATATTGATCAATAAGAGGTCCAGGAATATTTTTAAATTAGGCAATGGTGTTGATCCTGCTTCCAAACACATACTTTTTCCTGGTTATGGGTGGGTGGTGGGGATGGACATTGAGCATACTAGCAGCCTTGTGAGCTCCTTCACAAGTTGTGTCTTTTAGTGATAAATAGTACTTTGGGAATTTATGTTTTGTTCCACACCTTCGGTCAGAATGCAAATAAATATATATGTCTGATTAAAAATCACAATCTTCATTACATCATGCCTTTTTTTTCCTGAAAATCAAAATGCTTTACCTCATCCTATCCTTTTCTTTGATTGCTTTGGATATTGAAATATCTGATTTTTCCAAAATGTCTCTTGTCCTCAATATATTAGTTTTATATTACTTTTCTTCAGAACATTGTTCAAATCCTTAATGTGTTAAAGACACACCTGAGTTAGTAAAAAGGTCATATGCCTTAGTTTTTCCTGGCTTTTAGATCTTATGGCTGTCTTAAATTATAGAAGAAAAATCAATTAGATAAAATTTTATGTGGTGCTTGTTTTTTGAGTCTGAAATTAAAAAAAAACAATCTAGTTACCTCTGTGTTATTACGAGTGACTACTAAAATTTTTATTTAACCATCTGTGGCTTGTATAAGTAAGTATTTTGGAATGGGTATAATTTTAAGTGAGGGCAGTATCTTTGCTGCATTAATACTCCATCACAGGAAACTTCTAATTACCCAGAGGCCTCTAGAGTCACATTATTAGGCTTAATCTTAATTACCCAGGTTTATTAAAAAAAAAAAAAGAAGAAGAAAAAGTATTGAATCCCAGCTTCTGCTTTTCACAGCATTAATAATCACTCTTACTGAAAGATTACTGAAATCAATGATGTGATTAGGATTATAAATAAGAACTATGAGACATCACGTTGAAAAATCCAGTTGCTTTGCTAACAGGGATGATATGTGAGTTTTACTGATGGGGCCCAGAGGTAGGAATGAAGCTTTAAACATTAAGGTCGATGTAGAACAATTTCAAAAATTAATTGTAAGCCTGATTAAGTTTATAAGAGTAAGAGTAAAAGGGTCTAGAAACCTCTTTTTTCATCCCCAGTGGGTTTGTTTCTTATTTGACAGTGATATAGTTGGCATAATACTGATGTTTGTCTGGCAAGTATAAATTGTTTTCTTAAGGGGAAGCCCATCTACTTTATAAATACAGGATGAGATTACCCAAATTGTGATGAGGTTTACAAATTATAGTTATTTTTTTCTGAAGAGTTTGAACCGTTACTAGAAACAAGACACCATGGAAAGAATATCAAACATAACTTGAGAATTACATTAGTAATTAGAATTACATGAGAATTACAATAGTAAACAAAACTTAGACACTTCAAAAAAAAATGTTTTTCTCTGAGTTTGGCTACCTGGTTAGTATAACTCTTTGTATGACAAACTTGATTCTTGTGATGTGATGTGTTATTTAGATGGTCTTGACAATGCTATACTGTAAAATTTCTTTTTATTTTATGGAATTTTTTTTTTTTTGTAAAAGTGACTAATGGTTTTAAACATCCAGTGTGTGCCAAGCATTTTTACATAAGTTATAATATTTTCCCCTATGTCTATAGGTATTGTCATTGCAACATTATAGATAAGGATACTACCGTTGTTTAGAATTTAACTCACTAAATTAACACAAAATTCATATCCAGGCCCTTTGATGCTCATGTTGAGGCTCATTTTACTACAACATGCTTCTCTGATCTACCTGGTTTGGATTTACTTAGGAGGCAAAGCAAAAAATGAATTAATTTAGAGATGGTGTTCATCTAGCTTCTATACTGACAGGAGTTCTTGTTTCCTCCTGGTCAAAATGGCAAGTACATCATTTGTTTTAGCTAAAGAGGAATTCATAAATATATTTGAGTTGTTCTTTTTTTTGTTTGTTTGAGATTTTGTCAGAAAACCAAAGCTTGAGTATGTTTTCTTACAAGTGAATGAGATTATAAGCAGCGGTCTCTTTCTCGTGAAGAACTGTCTAACATGGCAATCACAGGTTTTAATGACTGAAAATGGAAATTGATAAAACAAACATGTCCTACCTAAAGGAAGGCACCTCTTCTTCAGCCAGCGTGAAAAACACCATGTTGATTAGTGGTCCCAGAAGTATTGCCTTGTTCACTTATTGGGTTGTCGGAAAAGTCATGATGTAGTTTTGCAATGAAAAACATAGAAAAAATACGTCATGACTTTTCCGACAGCCCAATAGTTTATCAGAGGTTAAAAGCTAAGGAAAACAAGGATAGCCATTTTATACAATGCAGGTATTAGTGTTCACTTCGCGTGTATTTCTGAACTGGCCTTTAGGAGGGAAACTGTTTTGTTAGGCAGAGTTTCAACTATCACTTTATACTGATTCATTTAATGGTTTTCATTTGAAATTTCTGAAAATTAAACTGTTGAATTTTTTTTATAATATTGTGCCAGGAACAAATGGAAAGGAACAACTTAAAAACAATTTTAAATATGCAAAGCAATAATCAAAGGAAGATGTCTATGAAATCTTATTTACCTTCTGTAAGTAAAATGTGTATTATTATTTTCGTAATAAGTACGGACAGAAGAAAAATATATTTCTTTTAGAAGTACATTATACCAGTAATTCAGAGTATGTGTAATGTGGGCCCTATCGTGCAGGTTCTCTATCTTACTCATTTCTGAAGGCCCCCAACTGTGGCAAGGCATAATGCAATAAATTATAAAGAACATAAACTTCAGAATTAAACCAATT